TCAGACTTTTATAGTATCTTAATTATTAGTTGATATCAACTGTAGGAGGAAACATTTCTTTCCCATGTTAATCTTTTGGTAAACTAAAACTAAGTTACTTAAAGGATTTTTTAAAAAATGTGTTGGAAACCTTTTTATTTGGTAATTGTGTGGTGGTTTGAATAGATGTCTTCAATAAGTCTTGGACATTTCAACAGTTGGTCCACAGTTTATGACTGTGTGGGGAAGTTGGGAGTTATGGCCTTGTTAGAAAAAGTATGTCACTTGGGGACAGGTTCTGAGGTTTCAAAAGACTCACCACCTCAAGTTAACTCTCTCAGCTTCCTGTTTGTGATTCCAGATTTGAGCTCTCCACTATAGCTCCAGCAGCCTGCTACTATAGGTGGATTTTTCTTTCCCACCCACCAATTCCAAATAACCACATGGAGACTTACTATAAATTATAAATGCTCAGCTGATAGCTCAGGCTTATTACTAACAGGCTCTTACAAGTTAAATTAACCTATTTCTATTAATCTATGTACTGCAACATGGTTTGTTGCTTTACCCATCCTCCAGTATGTTTTGTTCCCTCTGTGTCTACTCGTGACTCCTCTCAGACTCCATCTCCTTCTCGGCATTCTGTCTGCCCTGAAAATCCTGCCTAGCTCTAGGCCAATCAGCTTTTTATTAACAATGAGAGCAATACATACTTACAGTGTACAAAAATTTTTCTATAGCACATTGCCTATTACCTCTACTCTTCCATCATGGACCCTAGCCCTCTGGAACCATAAATAAATAATAAACTAAATAAAAATAAAGCCTCTCTTTTGTAGTAAACCAAATAAATAATAACCAAATACCATAATAAACCAAAATACATCCTTTCTTTTATAAGCTGCCTTGGCCATGGTGTTTTATTACAGCAATAGAAAAGTAATTTAGATAAATAGCTTCTTTGTCTTCTTCTTCTTTTTCTTCTCCTCCTCCTCCTTCTTCTGTTTTTAGATTTCCAGATTTTAAAAATGTGATTTAAAATTTAATCACATCACTTTCCCCTTTCCCTTTCTTCCTTTTGATCCATCTCATGTCCCTTTCCTTCAACTCCTTCCATGCTGCCTCCCACTCCCTCTGAAGTTAATGGCTTCCTTTCCTTTGATTATTATTTTTCCATCATCTATATGTATAAATAAATGCATAAATATATAAATAAAACTTGTTGAGTCCATTTAGTGTTGCTTGTGTGTATGATTTCAAGGCTGACCAGTTCATACTGGATAACCAGTTGTGGGGGTCACCTTCTTTCAGCAGTCATCAGTTGCCTGTAGGTCTTTGTGTAGGGGTAGGACTCCATGAGATTTCCCCTGCCATGTTAGCATGTGTTTTCATAGTTCAGGCTGTCTTGTTTAGGCAGTCATATTGTCGAGGTATCAATGAGTGTAGCTTCCTTATCATTTCTAGGAGACACAATCTCACAGCAGACTTCATGGTCCATTGGCTCTTACAATCTTTCCTCCTTTTCTTCTGTGATGTTCCCTGAGCCTTGGGTGCAGGAATTATATACATGTCTCAGTTGGGGCTGGGTTCCCCACAACCAGTTGTTCTCTGCATTCTGACCAGTTGTAGTTTTCTGTAATGGTCTCTGCCTGCTACAAGAGAAGCTTCTTTAGTGAGGGACGAGAGGTACATGTATATGTGAGTATGAGGGTAAGTATTTAGAATGTAGTTAGAACTATGCCTCTCTGGTAAAGTGGTCGTGGTAAATTCTTCTCTAAGATCCATGACCTCAGTCGCCCTATAGTTAGTTAGATTTCTAGTACCAGGCACAATCTCCTTTTTGTTGATTGGGCCTTATGTGTTGTTGGTTGTTTTTTACTCTTTACTCTTTGGGGGGCCCACAACCCTTCTCCCAAATAAATACACACAGAGGCTTATTCTTTCTTATGAATGCCTGGCCTTAGTTGGTTTGTTTCTAGCCAGCTTTTCTTAATTTAAATTATCCTGTTTATCTTTTGCCCCTGGGCTTTTACCTTTCTCTATTCTATATACCTTTCTTTATTTCCTACTCCATGGCTGGCTGGGTGGCTGGGTGGCTGGGTGGCTGGGTGGCTGGTCCCAGGTGTCCTCCTTTCCTTCTCCTTCTCTTGCTCCCCATCCTTTTTCCCCAGATTTCTCCTTCTATTTAGTCTCTCTGCCCGGCAGCCCCACCTATCCTTTCTCCTGCCTCACTATTGGCTGTTCAACTCTTTATTAGACCAATCAGGTATTTTAGACAGGCGAAGTAACACAGCTTCACAGAGTAACAAATGTAACATAAAAGAATGCAACACATCTTTGCCTCATTAAACAAATGTTCCATAGCATAAACAAATGTAACACATCTTAAAATAATATTCTACAGCCGGGCGGTGGTGGCGTAGGCCTTTAATCCCAGCACTCGGGAGGCAGAGTCAGGCCTTTGGGTGCAGCAGGAATTATATACATGTATGTATGTATATATATATATATATATATATATATATATATATATATATATATATATATATATATATACATACATACATACATACTCAGGATCTTTGTGAGTTCGAGGCCAGCCTGGTCTACAGAGCGAGATCTAGGAAAGGCACCAAAACTACACAGAGAAACCTGGTCTCAAAAAATAACAACAACAAAATAATATTCTACAACACTTTTTGTAACTCCAAGTGGCTCAAAGACCTCAATTTGAAACCTGAAATACTAAAACTGTTAGGAGAAAACACAGACAGAAAACACATGATACAGGTGTAAGAAAGTCTTTCTAAATAGGCCTCCATTTGCCCAGGAATTTAGGCCAACAATTGACAAGCAGGACCTCACAAAACAAAAAAGCTTCCATACAACCAAGGAAACAATCCATCAGGTGAAGCTGAAACCCACAGAGTGGGAAAGAATCTTTCTTTGCCAGCTATACATCTGACAGAGGATTAATATCCAGAATAAAACAGCTCAAAAAACAAAGAGCCAAGAAAACAAATGACCCAATTAAAAATGGGCTTTGGATCTGAACAGTGAGTTCTCAATAGAAGAAATAAATAGCTAAGAAATGTCTCAAAAAGTGTTCATCATCCTTATTAGCATTTGGGGAAATGCAAATTAAAAACACTTTGAGATTTCAACTTACCCAACAAAATAACTGACAACAAATCCTGGCACGGATATAGGGAGACGAGAACTCTCATTTACTATTGGTAGGAATGTAAATTGGTGCAGACAACTCTGGAGATTAGTATGCAGGATCCTCAAAAAGCAAAAATAAATTTACTCTCTGACCCAGCTGTACCAATCCTTGGCATATGTCCAAAGGGTTCAATATCTATTCCACAGACAGTATTCATTGCCACCTGATTCACAATAGCCAAGAAATTGAAACAACCTAATTATCCTTCAACAGATGCACAGATAATGAAAAGTGGTACATACACATAATGGAACACTATTCAGCTATAAGGAAAAATAAAGTCATGAAAGTTGCAGGTAAATAGATGGGAACTAGAAACTATTAAATCGAGTGAGGTAACCCAGACCCAGAAAGACAAATGCTGCGTGTTCTCTCTCGTCTGCAGTTCCGAGCTCCCAATCTTCAGATGTGAATATATATGCGGGAGCAAACACAGAAACCAGGGATGTATAAAAGGAGTATGTCGGGGTGAGAGGCTAGAGAGGGAAATACAGGATATATTAAGGGGTAACGGGATAAATGGGGAGGGGTCCAGGGAGGGAGGGGAGGGAGGTCAGGACAAGAGAGTGAGGGACAAATAACATAGGATGTTTAAGAAAGCCAAAAGAATCAAATTATTTTATATTTATCCCAAACGATATACATATATGTGTGTAACACACACACACACACACACACACACACACACACACACACCTCTTAGATGAAGTTACACCATTTGGGCCAACAATGCTCCTCACAGGAGCCATAGACTAACAAAAACTCCAGCATGAGAAAACTCCTTTGGAGTTAATGGTCAGAGTAGCCCAAGAAATGACTTGTAAAATTATAGGCTCTTGCTGGTGCCTTTTGTTGCCTGTCAGAAGTCTGTTGTTGAAGAATGCACACCCTTCAAACACAGGACTTGGAAGAATCCAGCTGGATCTAACCTGAAAGCCTCCTTCCTGTGGCATAGCTTTCTTAATACCGGGAAGTGTTAGCACAAGCTGACAAGATAGGAGAATAATCAATAGTCCTATCCATCTGTGACTCCTATGAACCACAATGACCAACATGGCAAGATATCGCTAAAGGTAAAATAGTGGCATTCATATCTTGGCGGTGACCAGTGTTCTTTTTATAAGGTGAGAAACCTTTAACTTACCTGTGTGGAACATGGTGTAGTATCCCAACCTTTGTGGAATAGCACGAGATGGCCTCTAGGGTTACACACCCAAGAGATTCCTTTTACTTCAGGCTCCTCAGTGGCCTGATATTCTTAGTGTACTCAGGTAAGAAATGAGTCTTCTATGAAGTAACATTTTTCCTACATTCGATTTCATTTTTCGTCTGAAAGAATCTCAAAAGAAAATTTTCTGGAAAGATGCTGTTAAGGCCAGCAACTTGGATACATTTTAAAAATTATTTGCTTTTATGTTTTAACATTTTGTGGTTAAAAACTCTCTTTCTCTAACGTTTACTTCATTTTCCATCTAAATCCACTGGGGCGCAAAACTGGACAACTCTGTAAATCCTAAATTCCCACCTGACGGAAGGCCTACACTCAAAAATGCAGGAAAGACCACAACTCCCAGAATGCAATGCTTCCTAATCTTCCTGTTGCTCAATGATTAGGGGCGGATCTTGAGCCTCTCCTCTGCCCCATTGGACAGCCTTCCTGTTAGGGCGGAGAAAGCGAGGCCATTCTCTTCCAATCCAGGCAACCGAAGGGAAGGCCGGAATAAGAAGAACCTGGCTATTGGACAGTCGCATTCCGAACATACGAGAAATCAGCCAATCGTAACGCGTCTCAGCTCCTGCGTCCTCCACCGTAAACTTCCGTGGCGGGAAAACTTGGGAAGTTTTCGCGCCAGGGCGGAGTCACGCGGGTTTTTCGGCACGGTTTGGCGGCCGGCGATTTCGGGGCAGCGGCATGGCGGGCACCGTAGTGCTGGACGACGTGGAGCTGCGGGAGGCGCAGAGAGACTACTTGGACTTCCTGGATGACGAGGTGAGGCTCGGGCGGCCGGCCGGCCCGGTGCTGGGGTCCCTGGGGGTGACCCGGCCCGGCAGCGCGGGTTTCCGCGGGTGACCCGGCCCGGCTGGTGGGGTCCCCTCGGTTAGCCTGAGTCCAGCCCCTGAGATCCCCGCGGAGGGTCAGGGCCACTGGTGTTTCTTTTCGCTCCACAACTTTCTGATATCTTTTCCTCTTCCTCCTCCTCCTCTTCTCCTCCTCCTTTTCCTCCTCCTCTTTCTGCTCCCCAACTTCCTGATATCTTCTTCTAATTCTTCTTCTTCCTCCTCCTTCAAGTTTACCTCAAAATTAAAAATTTTTTTTTTCATGTCTTAAATCAGTATACGTTAATTATGCATATGGCTTTCACAAACAATGCATTTTGACCATATTCACTTCTCATCACTCCTTTCATTTTCTTGCTCCCGGTGATCCCCTTCTTTTACTTCCATTTTTTTTTTTGAGTCAATGAATTTTCCCGTGGGAATTTTTAATTATTATTATTTTTTAATTTTTATGTTGTGGTGTAGATGGTTCCCAGGGCTATGTGCTTGTGCTCTTCCCCTGAACTGCCTATTTTTCTTGAAACCTCTCTTGGTTACTCGCTAGAGGTTTCCTCAGAGCCATCTAGTTTGTGTCTAAGTGCATGTGATGACCCAGCTTGCTCAAGGAGACAGGTGTAAACAAATGGTTAAGCCCGTCTTAACTCTTACTTAGATGGAAAGAAGGTGCTGCCCCGGGGGTGCATCGAGAGCTGCTGTAACTGGCTCAGAGTGCTCAGATTTTAGTTACTGACTTGCTTCCACCAGTTTGGCTGCTTGCTTTATGTCAGATCAAAAGTATTTTGTGTGCAGGTAAAGTGGGGTTTCTGTGCAACCCCCCAAAAAGCTTTAGGATATTGTTGAGCACTGAAAGTTTGTTGATCAATGCAAAACAATTTAAATTTGAATTTTAAGAGTACTTAATTTACATTTTTGTGTATATTTGAAGTCTTCATCATGTCTTTGAAATAAGACTGCAGTCAGGCATGTTAACATCCAGATTTTAAAATGAAATTTTCATATTAGCAAGGCTTTTTACTTATTGCTCTTTAAGAGTAAAGTAATTTTAATTCCTAATTAAAAATAAGCATATAGAAGAACTGTTGCTGATCATGGTAGCATGTGATAGGTGGGAAGAAAGGGCTGTCTGCAGCCATGTGCTTCCTGGGTATCATTTGAGACATGTGAGTACCAATATGCTGTCATCCTCGTGTGTAAGTGACATAATTGGTATTCAGTATCAAGTCAGTGTAGACTTCGAGTAGCTCCCAAGTCCCCAGGTAGGACTTTTGAATACCTTCATGTTGACGTCCTCTGATATAAAATAGCACCCCACGGTCAGTAACCGCTTTACAAATGGGATGGCCAGTGGTCACTAATGCTCTGTTGATGTAGACAGTGGGTGCATTTTCCTTGTCTGTAAAGGCCTAGATCTCATCCCAGGATGGGGGAAGCCTAGGGAAGACCATCCTACAGCTGAAAGACAGGAAGGAAGTATGTCACACCAGAGGATAAGAACTCAGAAATGACCGCCCTACCTTCATGTGTTATGTCCTTAAGTACTGCAGATTCGAGCTCAGCTGCAGATCCCGTTGCTGAGCCTGTCTGCTCCCTGACTTCTGACTCCTTCACCTACCTTCTAACACATCCCTGAATCCTGAGCTGGTTGTCCCTTAGATTCAGGCCAGTCTTACTCTCACTGAAGACCACCCCGTCTACCAGTTTTTACAGCTCTTCTACCAGTTTTTACAGCTCCTCACTGTGAACCTATCTGCTTACTTGTTCATCTTCTTGTTGCTCTTGATAGTCTTATTTTGTAGCCTGGCTCTGAACTGAATGGTGATCCTCCTGCCTCAGATGCCTGAGTGCTGGAATTATAGGGTACCTCCAATGAATGCCCCACCTGAGTTCTAACAAAACTTTTCTTCTTTGTATCTCCTTCCTGGCAGCTTTGGAAATCCAAGCTTGCTATCAATAAAACCAAGAACCTGCAGAAAGGGAACCCTGGGTGTCCTAGGTTCATAATGACTTTATGATTCTTATAGTCTCCTAATAGATTGTAGGTGAAACCTGAGACTAGTGAATGAGAGAAATTGGTGGTCACAGATTTCGAACTGAGCTGTTCTGAAACACTTTGAGTTGTGTAGCTGTTTTTGATATGTCATGATTGCTCTGCAGGAAGACCAGGGAATTTACCAGAACAAAGTTCGGGAGCTGATCAGTGACAACCAGTACCGGCTGATTGTCAGTGTGAATGACCTGCGCAGGAAAAATGAGAAGAGGGCTAACCGGTGAGTGATGACAGGGTTTGGAGGGGAATACTCTGCGTTTGGGTGAGCAAGGCATCTTCTTGCTTAGACGGGAACAGGCTTCCCTGAGAGAGACTTGGATTGCACGGCTGTCCTCTCATAGGAGGACGTGGTGGGCATTTTGCTCTCAGGTGCTCCCATCTTCTAATGTTTTGCTGAGTATCATTTTTACATCTTTGATGAATTGAAGTCAACCTCAGTTTTGGTGTAGTTTACTGAGTCTTCTACAGGGGCAGGACGAAGTAGAAATGGGGTTTTCTTTCACTGATCTTAGTGACCTAAGACTGTTCTTGTCTTGAGGGTCGTTTTCCTGAACTCTGCCTAATGGTTCTTTGTCGTGATCTTATGCAGCCTCCTGAACAATGCTTTTGAGGAGCTGGTTGCCTTCCAGCGGGCCTTGAAGGACTTCGTGGCCTCCATTGATGCAACCTATGCCAAACAGTACGAGGAGTTCTACATAGGTTTGGAGGGCAGCTTTGGCTCAAAGCACGTCTCCCCCCGGACCCTCACCTCTTGCTTCCTCAGCTGCATGGTCTGTGTGGAAGGCATTGTTACTAAATGTGAGTGGGTTGAAGGTGGTGCCAGGGTCCTGATGCAGTGGTAGGATGTAGATTTAGGAGGTCCTGAAACCTGAAGAGTTGTAGCGGGTCTGGGGAACTTGTAGTTTGAGAGAAGTGAAGCATTGGAGTTAAATCGTAAAGTGTGGAGGAACTCTGGGTCCACAGCAATTAGGGGGACTGGCAGTGGCCACCAGCAGTAGCAGAACGGTGAATTTCCAAAGCTGGAAGAAGAGTCCTGCTCTTCCAAACTTATGGCAACCTTGAACTGCCCCTTAATTGACATCAGTGTTACTTAAAAATTTCACGTGAATGCACTGATACCCTGTGTGTAAGTGTGAAGACGAATAAATGACAAGTGTTACTGAAACAGGTTCACCTAGGTGGAAGAATCCAGTGTCTAAAGTCCTGGCATGGTTTAGATCCCTCCTGTGTCTGTCGTTGTGTCTTCGGGTGACTTTGTACATGCCTTTGCATTCCTAGGCTCTCTAGTTCGTCCCAAAGTCGTTCGCAGTGTTCACTACTGTCCTGCCACTAAAAAGACCATCGAGCGACGCTACTCTGATCTCACCACCCTGGTGGCTTTCCCGTCCAGTTCTGTTTATCCCACAAAGGTGAGGACATGAGTCAGTTGGAAGTGAATCAGCCTTGGGGGCTTGGAATCAAAGAAGACTCTTTTAATACTAGTAGTTGTATAATATCTAGAGTCATTGTTCTAAAAGTAAATAATGTAAGGTAAGAATAATTCTGACGAAAGGTTGGGTGCAAGATAGTTTAATATAGAAATTCCACCCTTTTTTTCTAATACTGAAGTTAGGGATTCAAGAGTTGGCTTAGTGGGTAAGAGTTCTTGTGCAAGCATGAGGACCTGGGTTCAAATCTCTAGCACCCAAGTAAAAGGCTGAGCATACCTCCGTATGCCTGCTAACCCAGCTGTCTTTGGAGAGCAGAGATAGGTGGATCCCAAAAGCTTACCTGCTGGCCAGCTCGTCTAGCTGAAACGAAGAAGATACCTGATGTCATACCTATCTCCACATGCATGAGTATGTGCATCTACACACGTGTGTGCACCACACACACAGAATAGAATTTAGAACAGTTGGACTATAGAAGGCCAAAAAGAAGGAGGAACATTGGATGACGGGTATTTTAACAGAGTTGTAATCATAGTTATATAATATACTTTGTAAAAGTAAAATGGAAAATGCTTCTGTTAGGTGATCCCATTGTATAATCTTTGCAGATATTCCAGTGGATTTGGGAAAAGACAGTAAAAGGCTTTCTTGATGGTGTTCAGTTCAGGGTGAGAAAATTGAAGATAACTTTCTTAGTGAGACAAGAGATCGTTGATATTGATTACTTGATGTCTATACTCATTTAGTCAAAGGATACCTCTTAGGACATTGTCCTTGTCTGTGAAGTAGAAAATACTTACTCTCACAGTCCCTGGCACATAGTGAGCACTCAGTAAGTCCACAGTGGCTTTTGTGGTTTTAGGAAATTCACATGTAATGGGAGCACACCTTAATGTTTTTTGTGGAAGCTTAATATATTATAATATTATATTATGATTATAATATATATTTGTAATACTTGTTAATAAACTGTATTATATATAGTTTTCATATGTATATGAAAACTCTTAAGTGTATTGTAGCTAAAGTTTTCCTGCCTGGCCCACAGTCAGGACAAATCTCTCTCACCTGCCAGTCCCACAGCCGCTCAAATCCGACCAAGTAAACTCAGAGACTTATATTGGTTACAAACTATATGGCCGTGGCAGGCTTCTTGCTAACTGTTCTTACAGCTTAAATTAATCCATTTCCATTAATCTATACCTTGCCACATGGCTCGTGGCTTACCGGCATCTTCACATGCTGTGTGTCATAGTGGTGGCTGGCAGTGTCTCTCTGACTCAGCCTTCCACTTCCCAGCTTTATTCTCCTCCTTGTCCCGCCTATACTTCCTGCCTAGCCAATGGCCAATCAGTGTTTTATTTATTGACCAATCAGCAACACATTTGCCATACAGAACATCCCACAGCAGTGTGTCCTTTGAGTTTTTACAAACCGAATATACTCATATAACCAGGATCTAAAGTGGGAACCAAACTTACAAGTGTGTAGAAGTCCCTATTGAAGGCTGTGCTATCTTGGTGTCTCTACATAGCCATGGCTGCCTTGGAAATTTCTATGTTGACCAGGCTGGCCTTGAACTCTCAGAGAGCCACCCACCTCTGCCTTTGGAGTGCTGGGATTAAAGGTGTACACCACCGTGCCTTGCAATCCTGGTGTCTTAACAGTAGGGATTGCTTTCGTCCAGTGGTTCTCAACCTTCCTAATACTACAACCTTTAATACAGTCAGTTCCTCATGTTGTGGTGACCTGCAACCATAAAAGTATTTTTGTTGCTACTTCATAACTGCAATTTTGCTACTGCTGTATATTTTTTTTTTTTTTTTTTTTTTTTGGTTTTTCGAGACAGGGTTTCTCTGTGTAGCTTTGCGCCTTTCCTGGAACTCACTTGGTAGCCCAGGCTGGCCTCGAACTCACAGAGATCCGCCTGGCTCTGCCTCCCGAGTGCTGGGATTAAAGGCGTGCGCCACCACCGCCCGGCCCTGCTGTATATTGTAATGTAAAATTATAATTTCTTGAATTCAAGGCCATAGTGAGTTCAGGACAGCCAAGGATACACAGGGAAACCTTGTTTCGGAAAGAAAAAAAAACAAAAACAAAAAAACTGTACCAAATTGTAATCACAGATTCTGCATCAGTATGGGGAGTCAGGATTTTAATAAGGTATTGGTATAGTCATGGTTCCATCAGTGAAAACTGAACCTTCTGTTGGTTGGTTTGTTACTAATTCAGGAATCAGGCTAGAAAGGCTGTAAGAGATGCATATACTTTTATTAAGATTCTCAATGGTAAAGTTTCAACATTTCTGAAAGATACTTTTCCTCATTAGATGAATACTACGGTTTTGAGACAAGACTGAAACGACTTCTTCTGTGGCCTCTTTTTTAGGATGAGGAGAACAACCCCTTGGAGACAGAGTACGGCCTGTCTGTCTACAAGGACCACCAGACCATCACCATCCAGGAGATGCCGGAGAAGGCCCCTGCTGGTCAGCTTCCTCGCTCTGTGGACGTCATTCTAGACGATGATCTGGTGGATAAAGTGAAACCTGGGGACAGAATACAGGTGGTGGGGACCTACCGCTGCCTTCCAGGGAAGAAGGGCGGCTACACCTCGGGGACCTTCAGGTAAAGGTCTGCTGGGGAACGTTTGGAGCACTGGCAGTTTCTAGCCTAGCAGTGCTTTGCTCCAGGCCGCCATATACAGGAGGGCACTAAGTGGTGGGTGGTGTGGACTGCCTGCCAGTGAGGTGCCAAGACTCTTTACCTCTTCCTTCTCATATAGCATTGGGAATGTTGGCCATCCTAGGCCAATCGTGGAGTCACTGGTGACACAAACAGCCTCATGACCAGCCTAGCCTAGGATTCCCACCCCGCCTCTTTTCCGTACACACTTGTTCATTGGGCATTGTGTCCTCACTGTGGCTCATGGCCCGAGAGCTCAGCTGAGTTCAGGAACCTCCCCTTCTCCCATTTTCTGGTGTAGTTTATAGACCAAGAATACCTAATGCTGCTGGGGGTTCAGCAGGCTTCCTCTTACTGTGCTGCAGGACCGTCCTGATTGCTTCCTCTTACTGTGCTGCAGGACCGTCCTGACTGCTTCCTCTTACTGTGCTGCAGGACCGTCCTGATTGCCTGCTCTTACTGTGCTGCAGGACCGTCCTGACTGCTTCCTCTTACTGTGCTGCAGGACCGTCCTGACTGCTTCCTCTTACTGTGCTGCAGGACCGTCCTGACTGCCTGCTCTTACTGTGCTGCAGGACCGTCCTGACTGCTTCCTCTTACTGTGCTGCAGGACCGTCCTGACTGCTTCCTCTTACTGTGCTGCAGGACCGTCCTGATTGCTTCCTCTTACTGTGCTGCAGGACCGTCCTGATTGCTTCCTCTTACTGTGCTGCAGGACCGTCCTGATTGCCTGCTCACTGTGCTGCAGGACCGTCCTGATTGCTTCCTCTTACTGTGCTGCAGGACCGTCCTGATTGCTTCCTCTTACTGTGCTGCAGGACCGTCCTGACTGCTTCCTCTTACTGTGCTGCAGGACCGTCCTGATTGCTTCCTTTTACTGTGCTGCAGGACCGTCCTGATTGCTTCCTCTTACTGTGCTGCAGGACCGTCCTGATCGCCTGCAACGTGAAGCAGATGAGCAAGGATGTGCAGCCTGCGTTCTCCGCTGACGACATAGCCAAGATCAAGAAGTTCAGCAAAACACGTTCCAAGGTCAGTTAAGAGTGGGATGGCTTTGGTTTGAAAGGGTTGTGTCCTGTGTGTGGCCATCTTTGGGCTGCATCTGGAGGAAGTTGGGATTTTTTTTTTCCTGAGGTATATGTTGCTAGTGTCCATTTTCATTCCAACTAGCAAGTTAAGGGTATGTTTGCCGTGTGATTGGTAACACTTGTTCTGTCTGCTGGGCTGCTCAGGTGAACCTAATGCAAATCAGAGTGTAGGAGTTACAGTATCATCGTACCACCGAGCCTTCCCTATAACTGGTCCGGTTCTCCTGCGGAGACAGTCTCATGTAGCCCAGGGTGTCCCTGAACTCCCGATCCTGCTGCATATACTACCATCTGGGTTTCCACCTTTTATTTTGAAGTGAAAAAGAGTTTATATTTTCTGTGGACTTGATAAACCCCACTGGGTCTCACTAGGCTTTTTATTCTGTTGGTTCTTCCTCCTTTAGGATGTCTTCGACCAGCTGGCCCGCTCACTGGCCCCTAGCATTCATGGGCACGACTATGTCAAGAAGGCAATCCTCTGTTTGCTCCTGGGAGGGGTGGAGCGAGAGCTGGAAAATGGCAGCCACATCCGTGGAGACATCAACATTCTCCTCATAGGTATAGTGCTGGGGGGTGCCTTAGACAAGCTTTTACCTTGAAGAGTGGGTTGTAGAAACATGTGGATATAAAATTGTACCTTCTACAGCTGATCATATTTCAGCTCCATCAAAGTGCAGAGGGCTAAAATGGGTTTTTTAAAAATCAACCCTGGAATTCTTGATTTATTATACCTAGACTGTATTCTGAGGATGGGAAAAGGGAAAGAAGTGACAGTATCAGATTACTGTGTGACTTGTGCCAGGAAGTATGCTGCAGAAGCAGGATTTGTTGGGGTGTGTGGGGACTTTGCTGGAGAATCACCACTGCCCTGTCTTGTAGGTGACCCATCTGTTGCCAAGTCCCAGCTTCTGCGGTATGTGCTTTGCATGGCACCCAGGGCCATTCCCACCACTGGCCGGGGCTCGTCTGGAGTGGGTCTTACGGCTGCCGTCACTACAGACCAGGAAACAGGTAAGGGCGGGCAGCTTCTTGGCAGAGGCCCAGCATGTGTGTGACCAGACTCATCAAGCTGGCTGTAGATGCTGGCTTAGGTTTGGAATATTTGAAAGGTTAATGAGGTGTTTTGTAAGACTGAATGCTTTGGCAAAATGGGTCAGTTAGTGAAGGCTTTAGGTCTCTGTTACTAAAAATGTGTTCTAGAAGATGGTTTGAATGATGGCAAAGGGAAAAACAGCAATTTAGGAGGAAGGTAAAAATGAAATTGGGGAAAGGTTGGAAGAGCAGGAAAGGAGCTTTGGTTGGCTGTCACTGAGGGTGATGAGGAAAGCGAGTCTACATGTGAGAGGCTCCTGGGAGGGCTCAGCAAGACTGCAGGGTGGAACTGAGAAGTAACACTTATGTTTTCCTATTAAAGCCTCTTTACTGTGTTCTCATGCACTGTGGTGATAAATTGGAAAGAGACCCAGATCCTTCCCTGTCCTTTCATTTAGCCCGTGGCATGTACTTTGCCTCCTCTGTTCTAGGGGAGCGTCGCCTGGAAGCCGGTGCCATGGTCCTGGCTGACCGAGGAGTGGTTTGCATTGATGAGTTTGACAAGATGTCTGACATGGATCGCACAGCCATCCACGAGGTGATGGAGCAGGGTCGAGTGACTATTGCAAAGGCTGGCATCCACGCTCGCCTCAATGCCCGCTGCAGTGTTCTGGCAGCTGCCAATCCGGTCTATGGCAGGGTAAGCCGAATTAGGTCTGTAACCACTATTCTGGAACTGATTTGGTTTTGCCTAATAACTGGGCTGAGAGGTTTATTGTAGGGGAATTATAAATCAAAAACTTACCTCATCTTGTTACTGTCCTTGAAATATAGCAGTTATTCGTCACAGTTCTATAGAACAGAGTTTGTGTGTGTGCGTGTGTAGGCCAGAGGTCAAGGTTCATTGTATTCCTCTATCCTTCTCCACTTGAGTTTTTGAGATAGGGTCCATGAGTGAACCTGGATTTTGCTGTTGGGGCTACTGGCTAGCCAAACAGTTGATGTTGAGAAACCATCAAGTCTGTAACTGGGCCATTCTGCTTCTCTAATATTAGGAGACTGTATATTCAGTAAAAGCACCACAACTCCTAAAATGCTCTCAGATCTGAGCCTTGGACTTTCGGGCAGTGTTGGTGTTGAGTCATGACTGCACATGCAGTGAGAATACACATGTGTGTTCCGAATAAGGCTTTATTGAAGTTGTATGATGTAGCAGAAGCCAGCATTGTCACACTCTCTATATGGCTGGTTTGAATTAACTTACGTCATTGAGCATCCAGAGCCTGCTCCTGGTGACTCCCCTGATGCTGGGTCTGCAATCCATAGTTAAGGAAGCTGTGATATGTGTTTGTTTGTTTTGGTTTATCAGGACGGGGCCTCTGGGAACCCCTAGCTGTCCTAGAACTTAGCTGTGTAGACCAGGCTGGCCTTGGACTCAGGAGGCAGAGGCAGGCAGATCTCTGTGCATTCAAGGCTGTTCTTGTCTCCAAAGTGAGTTCTAGGATGGCCAGGGCTACACAGAAACCCTGTCTGAAAACAGAACAAAAATTTAGTATGCATGTGTATGTGTTACGATCAATCCATGTGAGTCTATTAAATGGATAACAGAATTAATTAAGATAGAAATTGAGGAAATACACTCATGAATACAGAATGGAGTGGACAGCTGAAGTCGTCCTCTGATCTGACTGGGAGCGAATCCACCTTACAGGCAGGAGCAGGGAGAAGGGGCCTGTAACCCTTCTCCAACTCCTTATAAGAGGTCATGTACAACAGCAGGAAGCACCGCTTCCTTTAGGCCGTATAGCCCAAGGTCATGGGCAGAGCAAATACCACTACATGTGTGTGGCTGTGCATATGTGTGGCCTGCATATGAAAGGTCAGAGGGCAGCTTGAAGTAATTTTTCTCCTACCATATTGATCCCTACTGATCCTGAGCATTGAACCCGGAACCTCACACATGGTATACAAGGACTGTACCACTGAACTATACTCGCTGGCCTGTTGTACTTTATGTGGCCTAGCCTTACATTCTCACCCCCAGGATTGATTTGTCCCTGATGTCCTTCCTACTGATGTTGCCTCTACTCGTTTGTCTTCTTGTGTTCTCCAGTATGATCAGTATAAGACTCCCATGGAGAACATTGGACTTCAGGATTCGCTGCTGTCACGATTTGACCTGCTCTTCATCATGCTGGATCAGATGGATCCTGAACAGGATCGGGAAATCTCAGACCACGTCCTTAGGATGCACCAGTACAGAGCCCCAGGGGAGCAGGATGGTGATGGTGAGTACATGGACTAGCAGGAATGGCCTGCCCATCCATATCTTCGGGTCAGACCCAGGGCTGTTGCCGTTCTGTGTCTGGGTTAATGTTGCAGGTGCCCTCACCTCTCCGTCCTTCTCCCCTTACTTTACTGCTCACCAGAGGTTGAGTGTCTGTCCATTTTGGGTTCTGCTGTATCTTTTAGCATTTTGGCTTCTTATGTGTGAGGTCCACGTGTCTGTTTCCTCCTGGGTTCTGGCTTTCTAAATCTTGGTCTTATCTCTGTGCTATAGAAGAGGCAATTTCACTTGGCTTAAACTCCTTAATCTCCTGTGTCTCAACTTGTGTTTACCAGCTTTGCCCTTGGGTAGTTCAGTGGATATCCTAGCCACAGATGATCCTGACTTTGCCCCGGATGACCAACAAGATACCCGGATTTATGAGAAGCATGACAACCTTCTACATGGGAGCAAGAAGAAAAAGTGAGCATCCCTTTTCTCTCTTAACAGAATCTGAGACTTTTGCCACATTAGATTTTCTTTTCGGGGTCGACAGGTAAACCGTTTGTCCTCACCAGTTGCCTTGCGTATGTCTGGGCTTGATTTGATTCAACTGAGAGTCAGATGTTTTCCTAAAACAGAAAGTTTGATAGAGCTAGGCATGGCATACCCCTGTAGTCTTAGCACTCGAGGGGCTGAGGCAGGAGGATTCCTAGGAATTTGAAACTAGCCTGGACTACAGATAACCTGTCTCAAAAGTTTTTTTTTTTTTTTTTGACAATATGCCCAAATGCTAGTGGTATGTGATCTGTCCTCTTAGGTGCCCTGTGGTTCTTCGTGGTAGTTTTTGGTGACGGTTAGTAGGTAGCAATCAGTAGTCTTGGAGAGTGAATTTGAGTAGAAGAAACTTTGCTCGGGGGCTCAAAGCATGATGTGTTAACTCCGGTACCTCTGTTTGGCCATGCTGTAGAAAGAAGCATAATTGCACTGAATTTGAGTTGATGTTTTTTTCTCTGAGCCAGTATTCCCACCTATAAAATGTGGCTGATATCAGGTGTGATGGTACATACCTTTAATCTCAGCACTCGGGAGGCAGAGGCTAGTGTATTTGTGTGAGTTCGTGTATTTGTGAGTTTGAGACCAGCCTGATCTACACAATGAGTTACAGGCCAGCCAGTGATAGATAGTGAGACCCTGTTTCCAAAAATGGGAGGCAAGGGGCTGGAGAGATGACGTACCGGGTTAAGGGCAGTTCTGGAGGACCTGTGTTCACTTTCCAGCACCCACATGGCAGTTTATAATGGTCTGTAATTCCAGTTCTAGGGGATCCTCTTCTGGCCTCCATGGACACAGGCATGCACATGATGTGTACAAACTCCCATACACATCAAAATAAATAAAATCTCAAAGAAAAAAAACAAGACCTATAATATTAGAGTTTCTTCCCTCGATTACAGGAGTGACAGATAACCTCCGAGGTTAGGTAGAGGATGTTAGAAACGCTTTGTGTGTGTCCCTGTGAGAGGTAGTGGCGATGGTGGGTTCCAGGCTTCATCTCTGCTCTGTCTATGGTCCTTGCCTTCTCTGAGAGGTTAGACCATTGCCCAAGATGGGTTAGGAAAATGACACTCATCCCCTTGGATCCAGGGAGAAGATGGTGAGTGCAGCTTTCATGAAGAAATACATCCACGTGGCCAAAATCATTAAGCCCATCCTGACACCAGAGTCAGCAGCCTACATTGCGGAAGAGTACTCGCGCCTGCGCAGCCAGGACAGCATGAGCTCCGACACTGCCCGGGTGAGTGCACAGCGGGTGTGGTCCCGAAGGCCTCTGGGAACGTGGGAGGTTTGGGGTTGCTTTTTTCATAATTTATTTTTATTTTATGTGCATTGGTGTTTTTCCTTCTGTCTGCATGTGTGTCTGTGAGGATGCCAGATCTCCTGGAACTGGAGTTACAGACAGTTGAGAGCTGCCATGTGGGTGCTGGGAATTGAACCCGGGTCCTCTGGAAGAGCAGCCAGTGCTCTTAACCACTGAGCCATCTCTCCAGCCCCCAAAATACATTTCTGTAACTATCTACCTACCTACCTACCTACCTACCTACCTACCTACCTATCTATCTATCTATCTATTTTGGTTTTTTGACACAGGGTTCTTCTGTGTATCTCTGGCTGTCCTAGAACTTGCTCTGTAGATCAAGCTGGTCTCGAACTTGGAGAGATCCACTTGCCTCCACCTCCCAAGTACTGAGATTAGAGGTGTGTGCTACCACCAGCACTACCCTACTACGTTTCTGTTCAGAACCTGGGGGGTTTTAACTTGACTATCCTTTCTGGTCTGAAGAACTTCGTTAACACACATTTAATTATCACTTTTCTGAAGGAAATGAAAACTAAAACCTGAGAGATAGTAAGAATCTCCCCCAGTGAACTATGAGTAGGTTCTAGGGAGTGACCTTGTTTCCGTTCTCACATACATGAGAAAAGAACTGAGGGTTGAGACTTGAGAGGAGGAGGAGGAGGCAGAAAGCTAGATGGGAAGACCATATACTTACCACGTACCCAGTGTGGTACTTGGAAGAGAATGGATGTGAGGGCTCTTTTGAGTACAGATGTGAAGATTCTAGATTCTTAGTAGTGTACTCTCCGGACTCACAGTGTTCCACATGAGCACATTCAAGCACCCAGAGATTTGCTTAGGAAGATCGGCGTGGGTAGAAATTGGAAGTTAGAAGATCCAGAAGTAGAAAGGAGCTGCATACGGCACTGAAAGTGTGTGTAAAGGGAGACAAGGAAGTGTGCTAGAGAGTGACCCTCTGCCTGCAGAGCTCTGCGGCTGGTTTACAGCCTGGCACACATCCTTTCACTGTGCAGGCCAGTCTCCTTACCCCAGTGAGCAGGCTGGGTAATAGCAGGGCCCGTGTGAAGTCCCTGAAACTTAGTCAGCACAGTGGGATTCATCAGGCCAAGGATTCTGTTCATGTAGTAGCAGCTGGAAAAGACACTGGTCCTGTTTGGTTTGCAGCCTCCCTGGGAGCCACGTGGTAGGGATGGGTCAGGCTCCTCTTTCTGTAAGACTGCACTGCTCACAGGAACCTGTCCTCAGAGCTCCACTTTTACACAGGTGGCACCTTATGTGGCCTTCGACACATTCGGCTTTTGGATTCCCGTATCCTCGTCTGTAAAGTACTTAGTTTAGAGGAGTGACTTTCGGAGGGAGTGCCCAGCTCCCCGGTGCATTGTGGGCCTGAGTGAGGACTGGTTTTCCCCACTTCCCTTTTGTGCTGTCTCACCTTCCTCAGCAGTTGTGGGATGGCTAATTTCTTCCTCTCCCTCACCTTCCCTCTCCCTGAATATCCTCCCTTGGGTTCCTTGGCCCTTTTTCTTACCTTACTGAATTTCTAAAAATTCATTTAGTTCTTGACAATTTCACTCATGTATAATGTGTTCTCATTACTCCGCTCCTGTCTCACATCCTTGGCAGCCTCTCCTCTGCCCTACCAGTGTCTTACAGACTCGGGACTTTTGCTTTCCATGTAGTTAGTTGAACCAGGATTATCTGTGTGACTCTAACCATCCATTGGCACTTGGTGGGGTCACAGTGGATAGACACATGAAAACCATGACTCCCCACCTCCTTGAACCTTTTGGTAACAAACAGTTCAGCAGTGAGTAGGGAGGGCCTCTTGAGTCCCTCCCCTCTATGCCTTGCTGTCAATGACCTAGTCTTGTGTAGACTCACTGCAGGCATCCGCAGATGCTGTGACTGTGGGATCGTAGTGTCTTGTGTCACGTCCAGAAGATGGCGTTTCCCAGCTCTTCGGCCTGCCTTCCTGTTCTCAGGAGTCACTCCCTAACGTTTCCTTCCCTAGACATCTCCAGTGACAGCGCGGACACTGGAGACGCTGATTCGACTGGCCACGGCCCACGCGAAGGCCCGGATGAGCAAGACTGTGGAACTGCAGGATGCAGAGGAAGCCGTGGAGCTGGTTCAGTATGCTTACTTCAAGAAGGTGAGCCAGAGGGGATGGAGGACCCCAGGAGAACGAGGCCCTCGAAATCAGCTGTGCAAAGGGCATTTGAACTCAGAGACTGAAGCAGCAGGCACAGGCCTGCACGGGGCTGCACCAGGTCCTCTGTGTATATACTGTAGCTTTCAGTTTAGCGTTTTCATGGGACTCCTTCCTGAGTGTGGGAATGAGTGGGTCTCTGACTCTTGTGCCTTCTCCTGGACTCTCTTCCTTCTGTTGCTTTGCCTTGTCCGACTTCGATGTGATGGTTTTTGTTTTATTTTGTTATGTTTTGTTGTTACCTCCTAGAAGCCTGTTCTTTTCTAATGAAAGACTGAAAGGGAGTGGATCCAATGGAAGGGGAAGTGGGGAGGGGAAACTAATCAGGATATATTGTGTGAAAAAAAGAACTTATTTTTAATAAAGGGCGAGAAATAAGAAAAAAATAAGGTGAGCCTTGTGCCCGTTGCCTGCTGCTCATCTGAAGAACTGTAGCCCTTGAAGGTCTAGAGCTGTGGTTCCACCATGCTTTTCCGGATTCTTTCTCTTCCTGAAGTTGGGAGCTGTGTTGAATTTCAACTAAATAGCTGATCTATAAAGACCTGATTGTCCTCCACTTAACCATAATGGTTTGGACACCTCCCCAAACATGCTTCTTTCTCAGTAAACATAGAGTACCTACTGTGTGAAAGGCCTCCCTCCCAGCATTGGTGAAAAGATGGCTAATAGGCTTGCCCTGCCTCTGGTCCTGGACCGTGGACCAGGGAGGATAGAGATAAGTCTTAGAAACTTGGAAATGGTTTCTACTGGTGATGCACAAGAGACTCGAGGTTTCTTACTCAGTTTTGGCACCAGTGACAAAGTCCTTTGGCTTGGTTCTAGGTTCTGGAGAAGGAGAAGAAACGTAAGAAGCCAAATGAGGATGAATCAGACCTGGAAGATGAAGAGGACAAGAGCCAGGAAGACCCCGAGCAGAAGCGGAAGAGGTACATGGGGGCAAAGGGAAGTGGGATGAGAGGCTCGGGGGCGGGAGAGCACTGCTTGTTGGCGGCTTCCTCGGGGCCTGTAGGGTTTGCAGATGACGATAGTCGGGCACAGGAGAAGGGGAGAGCCTGTGTGCTTTCAGTATGGCTTCCTATAAGGGGTGCTGAGTAGCAGAAGTGATGCCGTCATTAGGTCTTCAGATGTTCTGGGGTTGTTTTTCCCTGCTGCCTAATCGTTTGTTAGGCTGGTGATGGACACAGCACTGGGCAGCGGGGCCTGGAGAATGTCTTCCAGAAACTTAGTGGTTTGTTCAGACCCCCGCCTGCTGTTTGGTTTTGGCTGTACTGTTCTGGGGTGCGTGTGGTCAGAGCCCCCCATTGGAGCTCCCGGAAGCCTCTTGGTTTCTTGACCGCTATGGTTTCTTCAGGAGGAGGACGGATGCCACCGAGGATGGGGAGGCCTTTGACCCTTACGACTTCCGTGAAGCAGAGAAGGAGATGCCTCAAGGTGAGTGAGCATGTCCCCGTGACCCGACCAGTTGCAGTTGGTGCTGCCTTTCCTCATGAGCCCCTGGGACCAGGACCTTTGTCACCTTTGTCACCTTGAGAGCCTTGGGAAGCCACAGTGCACACTTAAGAAGGAAGCGTGGCTCGCCGCTCAGTCTATATAACTTTGTCATGCCTGGTGGAAGCATCCGGGTAGTGATGGGACTCCCGCCTACTCAGTCCCTCTGTCCACGGGGGTTTCCCTGTGTTACCCTCCTGGCCCTGTAAGAACCATGGGAGACAGTGCTCACAGGCTCGGCGAGGCGGGAAGGGGAAGCTTCTCCGGGGTTGGTGGAAATGGCTTCACCGTGTTGTCTCCCCCACCCCTGCCACCATTGCGCCCCTGAAGTGCACACTCCGAAGACCGACGATTCTCAGGAGTCCAAGGAATCTCAGAAAGTGGAGCTGAGCGAGTCCAGGTGAGTGCGTCTGCTCATTTTTGGGAATTGCTGCTGCTGAGGGACCCGCTCACTTCCAGGCAGAGTGCCACCAGCCACCTCTGATGAACTGAGAGCTGGAACTCCAAGGGCTTTACAACACCCCACACCAGTTCTCATGCCAGGCTCACCCAGACAGTTGCAAGCCAGTGTCCGAATGCCTGTGACAGTTTTGCAGGTCTCTGCCGGGTTTCTCTACTTTCTTTGTGGGAATTTGAGTTGTTACTTTTAAGTCAAGAGGAAGTGGCCTAATTTCCCAAGGGCAAATTTGAGTTGTATTTTTTTTTTAATTTCATAAATTGTGTCTACTTGATATGAAGTGGATTTTCACTAGGGTTTCAGAAAACACTTTTTCCCCCTGAAATTTATGTTTACTGGACACCAAGGAAACTCCATAGCTAAGGTTAATTTAAAGATACAGAACACAATGCAGTCAAACATGGAAAATGTTTTAGAGAAAAACCCTAAGCTCATTGTGATTCTGATCTCCAGAAGCAGTCATCGAACCCTGTGCTTTTCGAATCAGCTAGATTTCCATGAGGGGGCCCTGTATAGAGTCTTTGGTTTTTAAAACATTTGCTATACAAAGCAGACTGGCCTTGAACTCAGAGATCTCCCTTCCCTTGCATCCTGAGTGCTGGGATTAAAGGCGTGTGCCCCCTCACCCAGTTTGATGTATAGACTTTGTTTTGTTTTGAGACAGGGTTTCTCTGTGTAACAGTCCTGGCTGTCCTGGAACTCACTCTGTAGACCAGGCTGACCTTGAACTCACGGAGATCAGCCTGGCTCTGCCTCCCAAGTGCTGAGATTAAAGGTGTGTGCCACCACCACCCGGCCAAAATACAGATTGTTAAACAAGCTCTTGAACGGCTTGAGGCGGCTCCATGTCCCTGCCATTCACGGTGAAACATTCTTAGGTGTGTCACATGACACACAGGCGTGGTAAGGTTCCTAGGCTCTGGTGGAGAGGTGTGGGCTTCCATAACTACTGTGAGTACACTGTCCCCAGATGCTGTGCCAGCTGGTTTACTGTGCCGTGTCGAGGATTTCGGTCTTTGACAGCCTCCAGGTCTCACAGGCCCCCTCGTGCCTGAATTACAGGAAACTCTGTGAGCAGTGTAGGTTAGCTTTAAAGGGGGATACTTAGAATATGGGGAGAACACTAATGTTAATGCTCAGTCTCTAATCTTGCCTTAGAGCTTCGAGTTTGTTTACTACTGTTTTGTTTGTTTAAGATATGGTCTCACCATGTGGTCTAGGCTGCTTGTGAGTTCAGGGGCTTCTTCCAGCCTCAGCTTCCTTATGCTGGTTTATATATGTGCTGCAGTGTGCCTGGCTCCTCCTCTGCTCATGTTTCTCCTGTCTTGGGCAGGTTGAAGGCTTTCAAGGCGGCCCTTTTGGACGTGTTCCGAGAAGCTCACGCGCAGTCTGTGGGCATGAACCAACTCACAGAATCCATCAATCGGGATAAAGAAGAGCCCTTCTCCTCAGAGGAGATCCAGGCTTCCCTGAGCAGGATGCAGGATGACAACCAGGTCATGGTGTCTGAGGGCATTGTCTTCCTTATCTGAGCGGGGCGTATCTGAAGTCGCTCCTGCCGAGGACCGCCCTGTCTCTGCCTTTGGCTGCCTTGTCCAGTGAACTGTTTCAATGATGGAAGTGGGGAGCTGGGTGATGATGATCAGGACTTGGTGGAAAGCTTTGAGAATGACAGCTGCTGTGGGCCAAGAGCTCTGAGGGAAGGCCTGGACTCTGTCAGAATGCCTGGGTCACACCCCTTCCAGTCCTCAACGATGGAAAGAAGGTTATTCTGTGACTTGTGTTTTGGGGGCACAGCTGTTTTCTGCTTATTGCTTGTTTTTAGTTCCTCCCCACCTCCCCCCAAGCACTTGAGTCCAGGAGAAGCCTGAGCTCTGTTGTGCCAGAGCAGCTCAAGCAGATCACAAAGGTGGGTTGGAGAGAGCTTCCCCTGCAGTTCAGTTAGACTAATGTGTAACATGTGTTGTTGACCTAAATATCCAAGACGTGACATTGAGTAAATATGACTATTTTATACATGTGGACTTTACACTCTGCTTTAAAAAATAATTTTTATTTATTTGTGTGTGTATGTGAAGGTTGGAGCTGGGACACTGGAGGTCAGTGAATGTCTTGTGGGAGTTGTTCCTCCATCTACCATGTGGATCCTGAGGATCCAACTGAGGTAGCAGGCCGCTTTACCTTCTGAGCTGTCTCCCAGGCCCAGGCCCACTTGGAAATTTTTTTTTTTCTTTTAACTCATTGCAAATAAAATCCCACACTGACTAGCCTGGTTTACAGAGCGAGTTCCAGGACAGCCAGGGATATAAAGAGAGACTTGTCTTGAAAAACCAATATTCCCCCCGCCCTGACCCACAAGAAAAAAAATCCACATACTGAAATTAACCAGACCCAAAGATTATACAACTCAGTGAACTTCTGTACCTTCAGAGTAGCCACTGGAAAGGGAGACAGTGGCGTGTCAGACGAATTTTATACTTTCACTGTTCAATTATGTTTATGCACTTATCCACCACCAAAAAAGGGAACTTGATGACAGAGTTAGAACTAGAAAGACAAGTAGCTTTATGTCTGTCCTTCATAACTCGTATCCATTAGTTCTTCCTCATGCCCCGGTGTCCAGCCTTTTTTCTCTTGTCTGCATGTTACACTGTACCCACGTGTACATTGGCTGGGTTCCACATACGAGGGAGAACGTGCGTTTAGTCTTTTCTTTCCCAGATTGTGACGTCGCTTAATTTGCTCTGTGTGTGTTCCTATAAATTTTGTGATTGCTTTTTCTCTTAGAGCTGAATACTTACCATTTTTTCTAGGTCTCAGATTTTCATTGTCTGTTCATCTGTTGGTGGACAACAGAATTGATTTCAGTTCTTTGCTACCGTGAGTAAAGTAGCAATAAATGTGGGGTACAAGGGTCTCTAGTAGGGTGTGGAGTTCCCTGGGGGGTGTGCCCAGGATGGAAAAGTTAGGGCCATATGGTAGTTTTAGTTTTAATTTTTTGAGAATTCTCCAAACTGATCTCCCCAATGGCTGTATTAATTTGCTGGTGCTTTTTATGTGTATATTTCATTTCATTTCATTTCATTTGCAGGACTAGCCTCTGCATTTACATCAAGTTGCCACAAGGTGGCAGCAGCCTGCTGTGATCTCTTTGGGGATTTTATTTCTGTCCTGTAGTTTTCCTTGGTAAACTATTTGTCAGCTAAAACTGCTAACAGATTGTGCACACCAGGCCCTGCTGATTTGGAAAAGCTAAATACACAGCGGTCGTTGAAAGTTTAGGGAAACGGACTCTGGTTTAGTGACTCAACAAAGGTCCCTCTTGGAGAACTGATAATTTATGTCAGAAACCCTTAACATAGTTCTTGTCTGTAGAGGGATCCCCTTGCAGGGTACTTTTGCAGTTACTTGGCATTGAGACGTTTTGTTATATATATATATATATATAAGTTGGCAGGGCCAGCACAAATTTCTCTGTGTGTATTGAGTAGCTTTCAAAGAACTTAAGTTTACTTAAATAAGAGTGTCACAGACCTGAGCTGTGTCCTGGTGACAGATGTGCCCTGAGTTGTGCCATTTTTCAGCTGTAGGCTGATGGGGGTACGTCATGTTGATTGGGGATTATCTTTTTTCCTGAAGCTACGAAACAAGAATCTGTAGCTGTTCATGATGGTTTTATTTTGGTGTGCGGGTGAGGACAAAATTATTGGTGAGTTGAGTTTAATCTTAAAAGACCCCCCCCCCCCACACACACACACAGGTAACATATACACAGATCTGAACTCCTCGGTCTTACTAAGAGTGATTGGAGCACAACAAAGGAGGGTGTGTGTCCTGCAGGAGGGACTGTGACACTGAGTACTGCCTGTGAGGCAGAAGGCAGGCAGTGGGGGGCAGTTGGTGCAGGAAAAGCTGTAGGAATAGAGACCAGGCTGGAGGGCAAAGAGCCTTCATTCAGTAAGACCACTCTGGCTGTCATCTACTCGGCTAAATAGAAGGTAGAAAGGAGATGGGGTTTGACTGCCAGAGTAGATGTTAAGTATTTAAAATAAGCGGATTCTTAGGAATTCAGATCTTTATATTGAGTTTCAAGAAACTTGGATGTGTAGTGTACCGACTTGTGACATGGAAGATGTGGGTAGGTATTAAGGGCACCATCTTGTCATTGTCTAGAAGCCTTGTGGGACCCATGGCAGACACCTGAAGTGCTGTGTAGGGGACCAGGAAGACGGCTCAGTGGATGAAAGCTGGCCATGTAAGCCTGATACCCTGAGCTTCATCACCAGCGGCTATATAAAAGGCCAGATAGATTACCGATCTGTAATCCAGGTGCCTCCCTGGTGAGATGGGAGGTGGAAACAGGACTGGAAACTGGCAGGTTACCTAGTCTGGGGTGCATAGTATGTATGGCAGAAGTGTGGCCCATGTGAGAGACCCTGCCTCCAAGTTGAAGAATCAAGTCAAAAGCTTTCCTCTGGTCTATACACATGTACCGTGACGTGTATGTGCACACACACACATCCACAGAGTGCTCAGCCTGTGACGAAATGCTCTTCACATAGCTATTGCAATATACTGACCTGGACTCATCAGAAAAAACTTGCCCAAGTTGTTTGGACTGCAGAGATGATGGCTCATGGTTAAGAGGGCTCACTGTTTTTGCAGAGGATGTGAGTTCAGTTCCTAGCACCCATGTTGGGCTGCTTACAACCTCGTCTTACTCCAGCATTTCAGAGATGCACAGACACACAAAAATAAAATAGTAAAAAGTTTAAAAAAAACCATTGCTTTAAAAAACAAAACAACAAAAATCTGCATTCCTCATTCCGAAGAAGCCTGCTTACATTTAGGTCTGCTGTCTAAAGTAGCTAAGCAGTTTCTGGGACTTAGAGGAGTAAGGTTTTCCTATCTTAAGAAATTAGGGCATCATCAATAGGGCACCTGGATGAATAGAATGTTGCTAGGGAAGTGATACTCAGAGTTGTTAGTTTGGGAAAGGTACTGGCATTGAGTCTGCCACTTACCAGGTAACTAGAGAGAAAGCTTGCATTGCTTGTTAATAAGTTGTAAATGGGGCTGCATACTGCTTTGAAGGTTACTTAGGAGCCAAGCGGGCCACTGTTTCAACAGAACGAAAATCACTAGGGGCTGGGGGCATCGCTGGTAGAATGCTTACTTAGCATGTACAAGGCCTTGGGTTCAAATCGCCAGCGTCCCCTTGGGTTCATCCCCTTTTTCTGTCTCTTGGTAGTTCCTGTTCTGCAGGCAGTGTGGGCCTGGCTCCAGCACCTAGCCCCTCACTTGTGATAGGTCCTTTAGCGATCCCCAATGGACTGCAGTTTTCTGAAGTGGCAGGCAGGGTTAGCAGCCCTGTGAGGTAAGTCAGGGAAACCTGGAGAAGAAAAGGGAAAGATGAAATCAGAGAATTGGCTGGCTCGTTCCTGCACGTTTTTTCCCTGATGACTGTTCAGTCTATATTAGCTGTCCTAATGATTCTGGACTTTGAGATCTTTTTAAAGTCTGTGTTTATGGTGCCTGTGTTTATATGCATGTGTGTGTGGGCACACTTGCCCATGTGTGTGCGTGTGGAAACCCAGAAGGCAACATCAAGTATATTGCTGTTCCCCCACACCACCATCATCGTAATGTTTATTATTGTTATCACTATAGTTATTGAGACAAGCTCTCTCACTGACCCTGGAGCTGGGTATCTTCTGCTTGAGTAGCTGACCAATGGGCGCCCTAGAATATATCTGTCTCTGTCTCCTCACTGGGCTGGGGTTGTACCCCACTTTTACATAGGTGCTGTGGATCTGAACTCAGGTCCTCATTGTGCAGCGAGCATTTTACCTATTGAGCCACCTCCACAGCTGTGGGGAGAGTTTGTTCCAGGAAACCTAGTAAGTCCTTAGGACAGACCAAAGGGGAACCTGGGAAGCCAGAGGGTTTGCTGGGCTTCTTACAGTGCAGCGGGAAGATATCCTAGCTGTGTTCTTGAAGACCGCATTCTACATCACCAGCCCGGTGATACCAGACTTTCTGAGGTAAGGTCATCTCGGAAGTGGTCAGTCCGTGCGTGGACTAAGGTCGGTAGGTGGGAGTCGCCTGTGCACAGGCTGCCTCAGCTCTGCAGTCTTCTGGACAGCTCTGTGTGGCTGCTCCCCTACTCTCTCCTCTGGAACATGGTGACACCACTTCTGTTTTCTGGATGTGGAGATGGGGTGGGACTGGTTACACAGGAAATGTCACTAGCGAGCTACAGACTGCTCCAGGGAAGTAAGTCTGCATTCATGTGTTCAGGTTCCTTTCCCTGACCCTGGCTTCCTTCCTGAGTGAAAGGCCAGCCGCATCCTTAGAGGAAAGTGCATGGTTTCTTAACAAAAGTATTTGTTGTGTGACCAGACTTTTCCTGGGGAGAGGTAGAACATATATATGTCTTCACAACTCAGGTTGGGAGCCCACAGCAGACCAAAGTACAGATAACCACCAAAGAACTTGATGAACCAATGAGTTGTATTGGGCACTTAAAGGGACATGGGCGAGGGGTCACTTACAGGGGCAGAGATGACTTAATGACAGCTATATCACCAAAGCCCACCCCAGCATGGATGACAGCTCACAAAAGCTGGGGACCTGGGGCACACTCTACAGACTGGAGGCAGCTCAACAGGTTGGAGAGTGTTATCTCCAACTGACTCGGTTGGTCTAAACCTTGCAGGCAGCTCAGCTGCTCTCTGCTTCTTCCAGGCCTCTAGGCTGCCCAGAAATCTTCAGAGCTTGAGTTGTCTGCTCTGGAGAAGAAGGGGCCTAGTGAATCTGGTCAGTTTCAGGGACTTCCTGGAGCCATTCTGAGTTGTTTACCTTCCTGTTTAAGGAGCTTCCTTGTGGGAGGGAATGCTTTAATCTCAAGGAAACTGCTACACAGCAGTATTTTAATACCTGGTTACATACAGTCATTCTTATTTTATTTTTTTGGTTTTTTGAGACAAGGTTTCTCTGTAGTTTTGGAGCCTGTCCTGGAACTTGCTC